AAGCATACCTGTCAGGATGCCTGCTGTACCTTCTAGAATCCTTAGGGCAGAATTTACTGCTTTTATGGTCACATCTGTTCCAATCTGGCATCCAAAAGCACATCCTCCTAGTTCCTTGAAAGGAATTTTTTTAAAGAAAATCTTTAACAATTTCAGGTTTTGCTGGGTCCTACATAGACCAGTTCCATCTGCCTATATCAAAGTTCTGTTTTCATGGCCTCTGGATGTCATGCTGAGTTCTGCTACAGCAGTGAAATGACCCTTAAGTTTTAGTCACTGTTAACAGAAAGGTCAATTCTTGGTCAGAGTCAATGTTTATTTTTGTTTTAGCACCTAAAAGTTCTGAATTTCCATGCTTCAAGGACCCTATCAAGTGGTCAACTAGTTGTCCTTAGGACTATGTCACAGCTCTTGAAAGCAGTCACATCCAATTTTTAAAAAAATAATATTTATTGTCATCAAAGTGTATTTAACATGAATCCTTTTGGTTAAGTTTTTTCATAATATATGCATGTATTAATACATAGTTCATCCCTTTTAATGGCTGAGTTGTATTCCACTGTATGTACCACTCAAAGCATATTTGTAACATTTCATTTGCCATTGGACATGTATTTGTATTTTCTTTTGATGGCCATTATAGCTGATATAGCTACATATTTTATTTCTTCTCAGGATGGAGTTACTATTGCAGGATGTGTGTATGCATTTTTCACTTTATAAGAATTGTCTGAGCCGTTTTTTACTTATATCAGCAGTAGGTGAGGGCTAGAGCTGTTCTGGGTCTTCCTCACCATTTGGGGCCATGAATCAATTTTATGTGAGCTACTTTGGTGTATTTATAGGGATATTTTGTTTTGACTTTGATTTGCATTTTTCTTCTTTCTTTCTATTTTTTGGTTTGGTCTTTTGAGACAGGGTCTCCTTGTAGCCCCAGCTGCCGTGGAACTCACTATGTAGACCAGGCTGGCCTTGATTTCACAGAGATCCACCTGCCTCTGCCTCCCGAGTGCTGGGATTAAAGGCGTGCGCCACCATGGCCAACACATTTGTGTGTGTGTATAAGAGTGAATGGTCTGTTCGATTCTTTTCTTCTTTTCCCCTTTCTTTTCTTTTTAAAAAATTATTATTATTATTATTATTTTTAGAAGAAGCATTTCATTACAGCTTTAACATACTCAACAACAGTTTCCAGAGCAAAGATACATCACTTTCAAAAGTGGTCATAAAGTTTTTAGGTTCACTGTTGAATTAATACAGTTATACAATATTGAACTCAGTATAAAAAATTTAATGAGCTTTTAACATTTAAAAATGATCTCCATTTCATTTTAAAATATACTGTTTCTTACAGAAAGACTCATTGTTTTGCTAATAACACTGAGGTGTTGGCACATGCATCTCTCATCTATATGTATCTGATTATTACTAGTCATAATTGGTTGCACTCAGATCCTTGGCACCTATGTATGTCTATAAAGTCATCGGGTAGATTTCAATGATAATGTATATCACTTCTACTAATTAACATGCCATAAATTTTTATGCGTCCTCCTCAAATATAATTCATTTCTTAAAATTTGATTTTGTGTGTGTGTGTGTGTGTGTGTATCACACAGAACATCCCAAACCATCTTATTCAACTATACACTCACTTCCCAGATGGCACCCTCCCATAGCCTCCCTCCCTGCCACTAGAGCCCTTATACTCTGTTATCCCTGCTACTGTCCACTGTGTTATTGGCACCCCCAGCCATTCCCCACTACTTGTACATTTGGTGAATCTAGTCAGCCTATCTAGAGGTCATTGTTTTAGGAAGGTCAGCTATTCCTCATCTAGCAGCAATCAGTTGTCAATATTCCTTTAGATAAGATTGGGGTCTGCTGTTCATT